AAAATTGAATGTTTGACTACTAAATTATTGGTCGCCAATAGTCAATTATATTTTTAAAAATTATACATTTACCGACCAATGTTTTAGTCGCCAATACTCAAGGAATTGGTGATCGAACCTATTAGTCACCAAAAGCTCATTAGTGAAAAAAAAAATTACACTCACTAGCTTCTAATCTGCTCTTGTGGAGATGCGAACCATCAACCTCTCACACCATAAACCTTATACAACACACTCTTTCCACTACGCCTCTATAACACCATATGATTATATATGCAATATATATTATTTATATAGTACATAGACCCATATTAATATAAAAGTATATATATAAAGATAATTATTTTTTATTGAACATAATTTACGTAAAAATAAATTATTTAGTTGAAAAAAAAAGAAACCACTTTTGGCGACTAAACATAATTCTATACTTTTGGCTACTAATTATTTTTTAGTCGTTAACAAATTTAATTCCCGCGCTGAAATTACCACTTTTGGCGACTAAACTTCTTTTTAGTCGCCAAAAAGCCTCACTTGTCGCTGCTAAACATAATTTTAGGTGCCAATTCTATAGTTTTGGCTACTAATTATTTTTTAGTCGTTACAAAATTTAATTACCGCGCTAAAATTACCACTTTTGGTGACTACATTTCTTTTTAGTCGCCCAATGCCTCACTTTTGGCTACTAAATTATTTTTAGTCACCAAAAAGCCTCACTTTTGGCTACTAAAATTTTTTTAGTCGGTAAAAGCCACACTTTTGGCAACCAAACATCTTTTTAGTCGCCCAATGCCTCACTTTTGGCTACTAAAATTTTTTGGTCGCCAAAGGGCCTTACTTTTGGCTACTAATTTTTTTTTTTTAGTTGGTAAAAGCCATATATCGGCGACCAAATAAATTTTTAGTCGCCAAAACCTATACTTTTGGCTACTAAATTCTTTTAGTCGCCAAAAGTAAAGACTTTTGGCTACTAATGCTTTTTTAGTCGCCAAAACCTATACTTTCAGCGACCAAAGATGCTTTTTTAGTCGCCAAAGATGCTTTTTCTTGTAGTGTTTCAAGTTGAATTTTGAGAAGGCCTATGATACTGTGAATTGGGAATATTTGTTAGATATGCTTCAAAAATGTGGATTTGGTGCTCGATGGATAGGGTGGATTAAAGACTATGTAACTTCCCATAGTATCTCGGTGTTGGTAAATGGCTCTCCTACAGTTGAGTTTCATCCTCAGAAAGGGTTAAGGCAATGTGATCCACTTTCACCTTTTTTATTTAATGTCATAGCAGAGGGTTTGAATGTTTTGCTTTCTAGAGCTAAAGAGCCAGGCCTAATTAGAGGTGCTACCATTGGTCCCAGTGGTTTGGTAGTTTTCCGTCTGCAATTTGCAGATGATACTATCTTGTTTTGTGAAGCTGATTGGTGTGAACTTATTATTCTCAAGAGGATCCTCAAATACTTTGAAATTATTTTAGGGTTGAAGATTAATTTTCAAAAAAGAGTTGTTTGTGGAGTTGGAACTCCTCCTCAGCTTGTCAAGGATTTTGTTGATAGGCTGAATTGTTCTCGTCAGACCCTTCCTTTGATTTACCTTGGTTTACCTTTGGGTGCAAATCCTTGAAGGAAATCAACTTCGAAGCCTATCTTGGATAAGATCAAAGCAAGGCTTGCAGGTTGGAAAAGGAGATTGATGTCTTTTGTTGGCAGAGTTACCATGATCAAGTCAGTCTTGTCAAGTCTTCCACTTTACTACCTGTCTTTGTTTAAGATGCCTGAGTGTGTGGCTAAGATGGTAGATAGATTGCAAGCCTCTTTTCTATGGGGTGGGTCAGATAATCATAGGAAGGTTCATTTCGTATGTTGGGGGGAGGTGACAAAGGCTTTACATCATGGAGGTTTAGGGGTCAGAAATATTAGAATGGTAAATATCTGCATGTTAGTTAAGTGGTGGTGGAGGTTTGGGTTTGAAAAGATGGCTTTGTAGAGACAGTTGATTAGTAGTAATCATAGTCATCTGAATGGATCCTTTTTACCTTTTTCTGATGCTTTAACCTATGAGTCCAGGATTTGGAGAGATGTAATGCATGTGGCTGCTCTAATGCCAAATGTAGTTACATATTTCTTAGGTAATATCAATCTTGTTATTGGAGATGACAGTAAGATTTTATTTTGGTGTCATAAGTGGATTGGTCAATCAAGCTTGGAGAATCAATTTCCTAGGCTTTTTGGTTTATCCGTTGAGCCTCTTGGATCTTTAAAGTGGTATGTTGATGAAAAGGTTGCCAATGGTAGGTAGATTTTGAATTTCAGGAGACCTCTTCGTGCTTGGGAAGAGGAGGAATTGTTTAGAATGACACAGATTCTAGGTGAGGGTCCTAAACTTAGGGAAAATAGTGAAGATCAGATTAGATGGTTGGCTTCTCCTTCTGGGATTTTTCAAGTCAGATCTCTGTATGAATGGCTTCAAGCTGATGAGGGTCATGTTATGGAGTTATCAAAATTTATTTGGAATAATATTGTTCCTCTAAAAGCCAAATTTCTATTTTGGCTAGTGTGGAAAAGTAGACTTAAGACTGCTAATTTCCTCCATAGAATTGGTGTGCTGAGAGGTAATTCTATTTCCTTGTGTCTGTTTTGTAATTCTGCCCCTGAAATATTAATCATATTTTGTTGCTCTGCCCTTTTGCTTGGAAGGTATGGTTTGATGTTATTTGGTGGGAACTCAATGGGTTTCCCTTGGTTCTGTTATTAAGTTGCTTTATTGGTGGTTTGGGTTCAAGTTCAGGAAGAAGGAACTTAGGATCTGGAATGCCATTCCTATTGCTGTGGTGTGATCTTTATGGAGGCTTAGGAATGAGTGTTTATTTAGGGGAGGTCAACCAAATTTGAAGGCTATATCCGAATTAATCAAAGTCAAAGTGGTTTATTGGGTTAAGAATCATCATATTGGCAGCATGTATTCATTTCATGATTTCACCTCCAATTTGGGTATGATCCGTAGTTGCCTTTGAGTTTGTGGTGCTATTTACACTTGATGGTTTGTGTTGCTATGACTTCTTGCTGGTCATGGTTCCCTTTACTGTTGGTTTTTGTTGGTTTTTATCAGTGTATATGTACCAGTGTGTTGTGTGCTGATTTTTGGGTGGTATGTGTTTGGAGAAATGTTGTGCTTTGGCAGTGGTGTGCTATTGGTGTGTGCTTCTCTGTTACAGCTATATTGGTGTTGTTGATGTTGCTGATTTTGGTTTGGTTTAATGTTAGCATGGCAGTTGTCCTCTATTGTGTGTTGTTTTGAAGCAGCTGTATTGGGGTTGTTGATGCATTGGCTACTTTATGGCCTATATGGTGGTTCAGGTTGTGTGTATGTTTTATGGAAAGTACTCTAGGTTGGTGGAGTTGAGTGTATTGATATTGTGAAGAGTTGTAGTCTGGGGCAAAATAGAGTTTGTAGATTACTTTACTCAGTGCATGAGTTGGTGTTTATTGTGTAGCAGTTTGGAAGATAATTGGGTTAGTGGGTTGTAATCTTGCAATTGTTCTAAACTGTTGTCTTTAGCTATGTCATAGGGGAGCTTGCTCCAGTTGCAGTGGCCTGTGGTTATGCTGTCACTGGTTTTGTATTGCTATTGTTGGCTGGTTTGTGTGGTTGTTTCTACTCTTAGGTGTTGTTTGTTCTTTTCTATTTTCTTGTTTCTTTGTTGATTGGTTCCTCACCAATCTTGGGTCAAAAGCTGGTATATGATTGTGTTTCCTTTGCGGTGCCAACCTAGTTGGGATTGTTTAGGTTAGCTTTGATACTTTCTGCACTTCCTTGCTTTGTTGATGATTGTCTTGTTTGGTATCTTGATTCTTTTATCAATAAAGTTTTTTTTCTGATCAAAAAAATAGTGTTAAATATAACTTAGTTATAACATCTTGTAGTTGTTATATTGGTTATGACTGAAGCGGTCTTTGATTATACATCAAGTAATAATTAGCTATGCATCATTCTGATTTTAGTTATGATCTATTGTGATTTTTAATTTTTTTTTTAATAATTGAAGATGTGTTGTTTGGTTATAATTTATATAAAGGTCATCTTAGTTATGAATGGAAATAATTTAGTTATGAAAATTTATAATATCAATACCATAAAGTCATAACTTTTGAAGGTGTATAATAGGACTCATTTTTGTAGGTTCCTTGTAATTAGAAGGAAAATTTATAATTACAATTTTAAGAATTGATATTATTGTAATTTTATAAAAGTGATATATGATATAATCTACATGTATAGAGGTACTAATATAATTATCAAAACTTCAGGGACACGTCCTTGTGTCCTACGGTGGCTCCATTACAGTGGCTCCAAAGTGGATTGGTCAATCAAGCTTGGAAAATCAATTTCTTAGGCTTTTTGGTTTATCCGTTGAGCCTCTTGGACCTTTAAAGTGGTATGTTGATGAAAAGGTTGCCAATGGTAGGTGGATTTTGAATTTCAGAAGACCTCTTCGTGCTTGGGAAGAGGAGAAATTGTTTAGAATGACACAGATTCTAGGTGAGGGTCCTAAACTTAGGGCAAATATTGAAGATCAGATTAGATGGTTGGCTTCTCCTTCTGGGATTTTTCAAGTCAAATCTCTGTATGGGTGGCTTCAAGCTGATGAGGGTCATGTTGTGGAGTTATCAAAATTTATTTGGAATAATATTGCTCCTCTAAAAGCCAAATTTCTATTTTGACCTTGTTATTTGGAAAGCTTGCTTTGAGATGCCTCTTTGAGGATTACTTTGAAGAAGCTAGGCATTTTACTTTCTTTATCATGCTAAAACCCATGGAAGAATTGCATTACAGTGCCCTGTGTAAAGGAGTGATCAACCATCATGCAACATTATATTAATTTTGTGCTCACATAACATCAGATTCACTTTCTTTTCATAACATGAATCTTCATACATCATATACATAACACCCAATTTCATTAATTAACACAATTGACATAGCATAGTAACTTTAACTTCATTAATTAAACAAGTTCTACAAGTACTGGTTTACATTAAGTAGAAATACTGGTTTACATTAAGTAGAAATACAAGTTCACTTGAGCAGCACCACTAGCATGGTAAAACCAACCATCACTATGGTTGTGAGCATCATGAATTTGATCGCTTCAAGTCGTTCTCGTTGGTTTGCGTCAAGTCGTTCCAGGATATTCACAAGTTCATTGTTTCTCGCAAAATCATAATCGTATCCGCTCTTTTGGATATTTGATCCACTCCCAGTAGAAGCCACTCCCCACGCAAAGTAGTCACAATCCTTATTTGCGCACTTGAAATACATCTTCCCTGGATTTTTCTCTGATTCTGATATGTACACTCCTGCTTTTTTCCCACATTTGCATCTTTTATTTTCAAAGAATCCAGCATCATTGTTTGAACTGGTTGACATGTCAATCCTAATTACAAGTAAACACAAAAGTCAATTTCAAATACAACACAGATCTAACCAAACTTTCCATGGACATGCATGCATGACATTTTCTTTCTGACTTCAAGTGTAGATAACTAACTTGTGTATTCACAAACAAAAGATTTCTTTCTGACTTCAAGTGTAGATGACTAAGCAGGATCATTTCTATGTCATCACCAAAAAAGCTCCTATTTCTTGGGTGTATGTAAGAATAGCAAACAAGAGGGGAATATAGAACCACACACCCAGGCACACAAAAAAGAGTTTTACAGCATATGAAAAACCATCTAATCAGATAAGATGTGGACTAAAACCCAAACCAACTCCACTTTGGACTAGTTGAATACAACAAAAAAAACATAAAATTTCAAAATGATTGGATGACCCAAATCATGTTTAACAAGTGTTTACTTCCATAATTGAAAAAGATACCACAATTAAAAATGGAACCTAAAAATTTTATCCATGAAAGCAGAGAAACTGACCAACTTACAATCTTTCACAATTTTCTACAGATTTACTATCATGTCTTCCTGATATCTAAGACAGCACCAAGCAAACATGGGCATTTTGTAAATTTGTTGACACGCCCACACCACACCACATAGCCTGTAACCACTACATGGGGTACTTCATACATCAGTCTAATCCCTATTAGCCCTTCAACATGTATAGAAACTAAAATATTGATCAGTACAGATATCAATAATGATGATTCCACGTTTTAGAATATAGGAGTGCTGCATCTGCTGCTTCACATCCTTGGAAATAATATACCTTTCCGTATTCTCCATTTACATGGTTACCATTCTTATATTGCAATAGTTTCAAATTCATCAGTCTAACTTTCAAATTCATCAACTCAAGCTTCTTGTAGAATCAAAAGTTAGAAATAATAAAATATGACCTCACAAAGTATATGCCTTATTACATAAGACACATACACTAGCTCAAGAATCAGTCTTGCCTGATGATCATCACTCAATTAACTGTTTATCAAAGTGAACTGTAATTGTGAAAAGGTTGGAAGATTTGGCCAAAGAAGGTGATAGCCCTGGAGATTCACACTCCCACGGTTTGATATTTCCCAATAAAACGCAACGTGTTCGAATTTTGATCATTTTCACACAAGAAAGGGGGACCACCCTCTAAGCCTAAGTATTTATGGATGACTAATAGCGTACAAGTACCAGGAGGGAAAGGAGGAATACAGATCTTCGGTAGCACTTTCCTGAAGATCTGAAGATCTGTATTCGGGAAAGGAGAATAGAATCCTACGAGCATCAAACCTTTGGGTCCTCATGAATAAAACTCAAAGAAATACAACATTCTTTTTCCTCTACTTCAAACCAACCTGTCTTTTTTGTTAATCACTAACCACAAATTTGTATTCAAAATAAGCCAAGCACAAGCAGAAGCACATCCATCTTCGTATATCTTATAAAACGAGTTCAACATACACAAAATGCCCAAATCAAGCAAATCTTGATTTGTTCTTATTCTTTGCATGAATCACAAAAGGGAAGAGACTCAAACCTGTTATGTGTTCGTCCCAAGCCGCCTCTCTGTCTTCGTCTCTCGCCCTCGCTCCTCGCCTCTCTGTCTTCGTCTCTCGCCCTCGCTCCTCGCCTCTCTGTCTTCGTCTCTCGCCCTCGCTCCTCGCCTCTCTGTCTTCGTCTCTCGCCCTCGCTCCTCGCCTCTCTGTCTTCGTCTCTCGCCCTCGCTCCTCGCCTCTCTGTCTTCGTCTCTCGCCCTCGCTCCTCGCCTCTCTGTCTTCGTCGCCTCGCCTCTCCCGATCGATTCGAAGGGCGACAGGGAGGGCGACAGGAAAGTGCTACCGAAGATCTGTAGGGAGGGCGACAGGAAAGTGCTACCGAAGATCTGTATTCGGAGACGAAGAGGCGTTTGTCTGATATTCAAATTCAGTCTGACAATGAAGGAAGTCGACAAGTAGTTGGGCATGATGTTAACGTGGATATTCAAATTCAGTCTGACAATGAAGGAAGTCGACAAGTAGTTGGGCATGATGTTAACGTGGGCTACTTGAGAAGTTTGAGTGGGTTGGAGTTGGAGCGGCCCAATATTAATCTTGAAGTTGTCACTGGACCAGCCCATGATAATGGGGTTTAAATAATGTGTGTGGTGATCAAGATAGTGATCCAAAATTCATTGGGCTGGGCCTGGAGGTGGATAACATGATTTCATTGGCTAATAGAGCAGGTCAATTGTTCATTCAATCTGGGCAATCACGGATGGACGGGTTATAGATTGAGGTGAATTCTTCACGAAGGAATGATGTTCAGAATAAAGGGAAAAGGAAAGTAGTGGTGGCTGAGCATAGAACATAGTGTAAAGCTAAGTTCACAAAGAAAATTGGTAGGAAAGGTGTAGTTTCTGGAAGTAAGATTGATAAAGGTGCGATCATTCAAGCAGCAATGGCTGCTGTTTCCTACTCTAAATCGCAAGGGAGTAGCTCGAGTAGGGCTGCGTATCTTATGAATGAAGCCCAGGCAACCATGCAAATTGGGAAATTATTGGGAATTGACTTCAAAGAAAAAGAAAATGAGGTCATTGATAAATTAATGGAACTTGAAGAGAAGGATTTGGAGAGAGCAGGAGCTATGAAGGGGGTGGCTAAGAAGCCCTAAGAAATGTGATTAGGGGTTTTTGGTGTATTTTTTTGGATTGTAATGAAGATTTTAACTTGGGATGTTAGGGTTTTGGGTAGGTCTTGTAAGAGATAGAAGATAAAAGAATTAGTCAGAGAAAGGAGTGTGGATATGGTAATGTTACAAGAAACAAAGAGAACTGAGATGTCTGGTCATTTTGTTAAATCTATGTGGCCAGGGGATCAGTTTAAATTATTGTCTGTGGATGCAGAAGGGAGTGCTGAGGGTCTTATTTGCATTTGGAAACCTGAGGTGTTTGCCATGGTTGATTGTTGCTGCAACAAAAGTTTCATTTTGCTATCAGGTATTTTCTGTAGCTCTTTTAATTGCATGGTTGTTAATGTATATAGGCCGAATGACGTAGCCAAGAGAAGATTTATATGGGATGTGCTAGGCAAAGTTAGGGACTCTTTCCAGTACCCATGGTGCTTGGAGGGGGGGGATTTCAATGAGATTAGATCCATTGGTGAGAGAAATGGGTGTTTATGGAGAGATAGGGGGATGCGAGATTTTGGGGAGTTTATTGAAAAAATGGAAGTTACTGATATTCCGATGTTGGGAAGAAAGTATACCTGGAGTAATTCCATGGATGGTGATAGATAGAGTAGGATTGATAGGTTTCTTCTTAATCGTGAGTGGCTTGGGCTATTTGATCTTGAAGTCTGGGTTTCGCCTAGAATCTTATCTGATCATTGTCCATTGTTACTTATGGAGGACCAAAGAGATTGGGGTCCAAAGCCCTTTAAATTTTTCAACTCTTGGTTTTTGCATCCTGGCTTCTTACCTTTGGTTAAAAAACTTGGGAGGAGTCACAGGTATTTAGGTTGGCAGGTTTTGTTGTTAAGGGAAAATTTCTCATCCTCAAATCAAAGCTAAAGGAGTGGAATATCGAGGTTTTTGGTAATGTTGATTCCAAATTAAAAGTTGCTGAAGCAAAGCTTCATTCTCTAGATTTGGAGGCTGAGGGTAGAGGTCTGAATGATCAGAAAGTTAGTAAAAGAAGAAATCTACTTGGAGACGTATGGAGGCTAAGAAAAATGGGGGAGTGGGTATGGCTTCAAAAATCTGGATTGAATTGGGCCCTTAAGGGTGATAAGAACATCGGATTTTTTCATGTAATGGCAAAATCTTGACAATGTAAGAATATGTTGGATTGTCTTCAAGTCAATGGAAGAAATATTATGCAGCCCAATGAGGTGAAACAGGAGGTAGTAAGGCATTTTAAGTGTTTGTTTACTGAGAGTTGGGTGCATAGGCCCAAACTGGCTGGTTTGTTAAAATCTATTAAGACTGATTCAGTTGCTAATTTGGAGGTGGAATTCACTGAATCTGAAGTGTGGGCTGCTATTAAAAGTTGTGATGGGAACAAGGCCCTAGGTCCTTATGGGTTTAATTTATCTTGCGTACAAAAATGTTAGAGTGTAATGAAGCATGATTTTATGAATTTCATGAAGGAGTTTCATGAGAATGGTAGGTTGGTCCGAGGTTTAAAATGCTCTTTCTTTACTCTTGTCCCAAAGAAGCTCAACCCATTAAGTCTTTCGGATTATCATCCTATTTGTCTTATTGATGTAGTTTACAAAATTTTGGCTAAGGTATTATCATTTAGCATGAAGAAGGTGTTACTTGCGGTGATTAGTGAGAATTAATCTGCATTTTTAGGGGGTAGAAATATAATGGATGGGGTCCTCATTGCAAATGAGATTGTGGATTGGTGGAAGAAAACAAAAACCAAGGGTGTTCTTCTCACTACAAGAAGTAACAGTTTTGTCGACCAAAATATTAGTCGCCAAAAGTTGCTTTTTTATTCGCTATACCATTGAGGGACTAAATTTTTTTGTCGCCAAGTAAGTCGCCTAAACCCTGTCGGCGATTGTTTTAGCGACTAAACGTGTGTTTGGTCGCTGAAAGCGAAACATTTGGCTATTATTTTTTTTAGTCGGCAATGTTACCTTTTAGCTACTAATTTTTAGTTGGTCGGCAAAATTAAATGTTTGGCTACTAAATTATTGATCGCCAATAGTCAATTATATTTTTTTAAATTATACATTTACCGACCAATGTTTTAGTCGCCAATACTTAAGGAATTGGTGACCGAACCTATTAGTTGCCAAAAGCTCATTCGTGAAAAAAAAAAAATTACACTCACTAGCTTCTCATCTGCTCTTGGCGACCAAACCTTTTAGTCGCCAAAAGCTCATTCGTGAAAAAAAAAAAATTCCACTGTGCCTCTATAACACCATATGATTATGTATGCAACATATATTATTTATATAGTACAAGACCTGTATTAATATAAAAGTATATATATATAAAGATAATTATTTTTTATTGAACATAATTCATGTAAAAATAAATTATTTAGTTGAAAGAAAGAGAGACTACTTTTGGCGACTAAACATAATTTTAGTCGCCAATTCTATACTTTTGGCTACTAATTATTTTTTAGTCGTTAACAAATTTAATTCCCATGCTGAAATTATCACTTTTGGCGACTAAACTTCTTTTTAGTCGCCAAAAAGCCTCACTTGTCGCTACTAAACATAATTTTAGTCGCCAATTCTACACTTTTGGCTACTAATTATTTTATAGTCATTAAAAAATTTAATTCCCGCGCTAAAATTACCACTTTTGGCGACTAAATTTCTTTTTAGTCGCCCAATGCCTCACTTTTGGCTACTAAATTATTTTTAGTCGCCAAAAAGCCTCACTTTTGGCTACTAAAAGTTTTTTAGTCAGTAAAAAACTCACTTTTGGCTACTAAAATTTTTTAGTTGCCAAAGGGCCTTACTTTTGGCTACTAAAATTTTTTTAGTTGGTAAAAGCCATATATCGGTGACCAAATAGATTTTTAGTCGCAAAATCCTATACTTTTGGCTACTAAATTTTTTTAGTCGCCAAAAGTCTTTACTTTTGGCTACTAATGCTTTTTTAGTCGCCAAAACCTATACTTTTAGAGACTAAAGGTGCTTTTTTAATCGCCAAAGATGCTTTTTCTTGTAGTGTTTCAAGTTGGATTTTGAGAAGGCCTATGATACTGCGAATTAGGAATATTTGTTAGATATGCTTCAAAAATTTGGATTTGGTGCTCGATGGATAGGGTGGATTAAAGCCTGTGTAACTTCCCATAGTATCTCGGTGTTGGTAAATGGCTCTCCTATAGTTGAGTTTCATCCTCAGAAAGGCTTAAGGCAAGGTGATCCGCTTTCACCTTTTTTATTTAACGTCATAGCAGAGGCTTTGAATGTTTTGCTTTCTAGAGCTAAAGAGCTAGGCCTAATTAGAGGTGCTACCATTGGCCCCAGTGGTTTGGTTGTTTCCCATCTGCAATTTGCAGATGATACTATCTTGTTATGTGAAGCTGATTGGAGTGAACTTATTATTCACAAGAGGATCCTCAGATGTTTTGAAATCATTTTAGGGTTGAAGATTAATTTTCAAGAAAGTGTTGTTTGTGGAGTTGGAACTCCTCCTCAGCTTGTCAAGGATTTTGTTGATAGGCTGAATTGTTCTCATCAGACCCTTCCTTTGATTTACCTTGGTTTACCTTTGGTGCAAATCCTCGAAGGAAATCTACTTGGAAGCCTATCTTGGATAAGGTCAAAGCAAGGCTTGCAGGTTGGAAAAGGAGATTGATGTCTTTTGTTGGTAGAGTTACCATGATCAAGTCAGTCTTGTCAAGTCTTCCAGTCCACTACCTATCTTTGTTTAAGATGCCTGAGTGTGTGGCTAAGATGGTAGACAGATTACAAGCCTCTTTTTTATGGGATGGGTCAGATAATCATAGGAAGGTTCATTTGGTACGGTTGGGGGGGGGGTGACAAAGGCTTTACATCACGGAGGTTTAGGGGTCAGAAATATTAGAATGGTAAATATATGCATGTTAGTTAAGTGGTGGTGGAGGTTTGGGTTTGAAAAGATGGCTCTGTAGAGACAGTTGATTAGTAGTAATTATAGTCATCTGAATGGATCCTTTTTACCTTTTTC